GAGAGAGAGATTTGGAGATTTAGAGAGAGAGAGAGAGAGAAGAGAGAGAGAGAGAGATTTAGAGAGAGAGACAGATTTAGAGAGAGAGAGAGTAGAGAGAGAGAGAGAGAGATGAATTGGTTTGGTCGGTTTGAGAAAGAGAGAAATAAAGAGCAAAGACACAAAGGAAAAGCACAACTACCACAGAGAGAGAGATTTTGAGGGAGAGAGGGTTGAATTGGTGAAGTCTGTGGCAGATGTTTGTCTCTCTGGATACATCCCTTTTCGCCTCTCTCTCCCTGTTCTTGCCTTTGTTTTCCCGTGTACTCACATCCCCTGCCTGTTCATATCTCTAAACATATCTCACTTTTACCCTCTCCCTCTCCCTCTTCCCTTCGTCTCATTTTGTCTGACAAAAAGACGGTGAGTTGGCCCAGCAAATCATCAACAGAAAAAACAACAACCACGCACACCTCTCTGGCCAAACGTCCACGCCACCACCCCATCTCTGGATATACGTTATACTTTCCGTTGGCTAAAACTGTCAGATTGATAGTGTCTCTGCATGAGAACGCACACCACATCTCTCTCTCTCTCTCTCTCGTATTTTACGGCAGCTCACGTCGTCGTCCTCTTCATCGTCTCGACGGGGCCGTGTGCGCGCGCAGCCGTTGCTTGGTACGTACCACTGGCTTCATGGCTTGATGAACCCCCTCAGCCTTCCGTTTATACATGCGTGTGTGTGTGTGTGCGTGTGTGTGGGGCGGAGAAGCGTGCTTGCTTGCTGCGTTCGTTGGCTCACGGGGGGTTGATCCCTTTTTGTCAGTGGCAGAGCTGCGGACGCACATTCTATAGCCCTGTCGCTTCACCTGGCTGCTACTGCTACTGCTACCGCTGCTGCTGCTGCTGATGTGGTTGCTGCTGATGCCCATGGGTATGTTGATCGGGGAATGACCTTGGTCTGATTGATAGCCCCGGCCCCCATTTGATGTGCTTGATGGTAGTCCTGCTTTTTATTTTGCATGCACCTGTTCCGCCACCTCGATTCTCTTCCTCGACGTTCCCCCCGCCCTTTCCCCCTCCTCCCTCCTTCCCCTCCTCCCTCCTTCCCCTCCTCCCTCCTCCCCCTCGCCCCCCTTCTTCTTTTTCTTCTCCTTTTCCTCATCCCGCTCTGCGCTCTTCAGCTTAGGAAACCTCGCACCCAACGTTTCAACGTCTCACGTGTGCGCTCAAACTGCACGGGCATCATGTCAACCGAGGGACTGCTGGCCACGTCGAAAC